ATCACCTACAGAACTTTACAAGGAAGCCATCCCGTTCTTTGAGATGTTACCTCTGGGACTGGTGACAATATGGCAAGTTTGACATTTATGTCAGAATGGAATTGTGGGTGGAGAAAAAGGGGGCTTAGAGTTTTCAGAAGTTTTCATTTTTTTAACAAAAGTAATTACTATGGAGCAAGAAAACCTCAATTTAGAGAAAAACATAAGTTACCTTAGGCTTCAGATACTCAAAGGGGAGAAAAATGCCTGTTGGTGTTCTTATTTCTCTTTTCTCCATTGGTAATTCCATTAAATTTCTTGGTTTTAACTATCACCTCCAGCAAAAAGAAAACACCTTCCAAAATTATACCTTCAACTACCATCTCTTAAGCACCCAACTCCTTTTTCCAACTATCCCCTAGACATCTTATACAGGATCTCCCCAAGCTGCTCAAAAACAAAATGTCCACAGGGAAATCTCTGTCCCTTTGTCAGCAATTCCTGCATTCCCAGTTACTGCTCAGTCTGTCATCATCATCATCATCATCATCATCATCCTATGAGACAGGTTCAAAATTGTGCTGCTTCTTCCCAGGTCCCACTGCCAATTTCTACTGCTGGTACCTGCCATGTTGGCCCATCTCTGTCTCTTCTGCTGATACCACTCGAAGTGCTCCTAGAGCCCTGGACATTCCTGATAGGTTCCCTTTTATATTCCTTTGTTCTGGCCCTTTTCTCTCTCTGGAAAGCCCCTTCACATTCTATGATCATATCTTACATCAACAATTTATTCTAACGCCAATTTCACATAGCCTTCCTGACCCATTCAGTCAGAAGTATTTTCTACCTACCCTGAACCCCCAAAGATCTTATTCTAAACCTTCCTTATGGCACATACTTGTTACTTGATAAATATGTATTTGTTGAGCATATCCTGTGTATAGGGCATTCTTGTTCTCCTGCCCCTCACAGGGCCCAAAGGCACTTTATATACATTCTCACTTAATCCTCTCAGCAGACCTATAAAACCTGGAAGGGCCTGTACCCCACAGATCTGTATTTAACTGGGTTTGGGTACAGCTTGGATAAGGGGACTTTTAAAGACTCCCTGGGTGATTCAGTGTGTAGCAAGGTTGAGAACCACTGGTATAACTCCAAACCCCTTAGCCAGACGTCCTCCAGTAGCAAGTATGACCTTTGAAGCTTTAAAAAGACAAACAAATGCTGGACTCCAGCCCAGTCCTACCAGATCAGAATCTCTGGGGGATAGAGCTTGGGCATCTGGAGCTCCACAGGCGATTCTGTCACATAACCGGGATGGAGCACCACTCTCTTCATCAGACCCTATATCGTCTCCCAATATTGCTATACTACAGGTGATCCTATATGTCCACTCCCTGGACTACTTTGTAGCCTATAAACTCTCTGAGGAGGTTTACGTGTGATTCACCTTGGTCTGCTCCCTGGCTCTACTAAGGTCCCTTGCACATGTGTCTTAGAAACTAAAGAACCAATAAAATGCCTTTTGATGACCTTATTAAGAAAACAAGGAACACCTTTACAGAGCACTTCTCTTTGACGAGATTTTTAACCTCTAATATACTAACCTAGAAACTAAGCGAGTCATTGCCATTCTCTGAGCGTCGTACTTGCACGGCTGCGTAGTGTCAGAACTAGGATTTGAACTTAGCTCTTCTGACAATACTCTTTCCTCTGCATCTCAGGCCTTAGAAGCAACCACAAAGTGAACAGTCTACTCCCTCTATGTTTGGATACTTGCTGTCCGACGTGTTTCTAAAATTTGAACATAACCAGTCACATGGCCAAAGAAAAAAACTGTTGGTATTATGAAATGAATTTGGAAAAATATATCAATTTAAAACCAAAAATTAATGATGGGACCTAGCAGATATCTCTTTCTTCTTGTCAGCCCCACGCGCCCTCATCCACAGATGTACATACACACGTACACACAAACACACCCTCTACTTGTTCTTTGACATTGCTTGACAAGTGTTTAGTCACGGCATTGGTAATTGCCTTAGCTTTTTCTTCTTCGTCGTCTTAGTTTGTGCTGTTTCTCAAAGACTTTTCAAAAGACCTGAGCTTCTAGTTATAAGTGAGATCTTTTTAAAAGTTCATATACAGTTTACTTAAGGTAGTACATTGGCATCTGGCATAAACATCTAATGTTTCATGCTAGATGAATAGGCACATAGAATGCATACAGGCATAACAAAGGTGAAAAGACACTCAAACAAGACCTGGAAACCTGGAATCTAGGCTCTTTTTTGCCATTTCCAAGCCAGCTGACTCTGGACAGGGAATGGACTCTCCAGAGCCTCTTTTCTCACCAAAAAAAAATGGAGAGAAGGACATAACATAGACCCTCCCAGATTTTCTTACAAATATGAAATTTTACAATCCTTTAAAATAATAATGTTTATTAGGCCATTGGTCAAGATTAAATTAATAAATAGTCCCTATGCTTGAGGAACATTAGCCCTGAGCTAACATCTGTGCCAATCTTCCTCTACTTTATATGTGAGTCACCACCACAGCATGAGTGACAAGTGGTATAGGTCTGTGCCCAGGATCTGAACCTGTGAACCAGGGCCACCAAAGCAGAGCATACTAAACTTAATCACTACACCACGAGGCGGGCCCCTCAGTTGATATTTTTAAAGGCGAACAGAATTATAACGAAATTTGTAGACTTCTTTACAATTTAGAAAGTGTTCACCTCCATTATCTCTTTTGATTTTCATAATATAACAACACATTAGTCATTATTAGCCCCATTTCACAGGAAAGGAAATTAAGATGCAGAGAGGCTGAGTGACTTGTCCAAGGTAACATAATCAGAAAATAGCAAATCTTGTGGGCCCTTCTGGATCCACATTTTGACCCCCTTTTGACACTTCGATGGCTGCAGGCAAAGCTGGAGATCAGAGGCTGGGAAAATGGGACATGCAGACAGCTCCCCCCAGCAGCCTGTCTGCCTTCCCAAAATGTTTTCTAGCCCAGATGCCTTTAAATTGCTTTGGAATTGAATACCAAGTGGGGCTTTATTTAACATATCATTTCTGGGTGTGTATTTTCTGAGCATTTATAGATCTGTGTTTTTCCAAGAAGCTGAGTGTTCCTGATAAAACAAGACAGATAATGATAAATGAGCATCTATGTAAGCCTAGCTGGGAGGAGGACCAGGGACTGTTAACACCCCTCCTGTGAAGTTAATCCCATTTCTTTTAGCTATTTCTTTATTAGTTAATGAGGTCTTGCAAAAATGTGTGTCTGTGCTGGTGTTTTTAGCATCCTTGCCTCCAGGAACGTTTTCAAATACAGTTATTCATAAAGGAACTCATCTGACCAAAGCTTAAAGCAGAGGTGCATTAAGTATGAATTTAGTCAACTTCAAACGTGGGTGGTCGAAAAGCTGCTCCTGAAATAACCTAAATAATCCTCCTCATTGGTGTTTCCAGATCCACAGCTTTGGGCGCAAATGTGCAGGGGGACGGGGAAGAGGTGCTATTTAGAACAGCCAGGACTCTGAAGGCCAGCCCCGTAAGCTTTCATCCTGCTTCCTGACTGACAGCAGTGTGGCTTGCTTTTGGAAAACTGAAAAACTTAAGGGAAATAAAAAAAAAAAAACAAAAAGGAAAAGGAACTGTTAGTCAAGCCCCTAGGAAGGAAAGCAGACGCTAGGTCCTCTTGTTCCTGGGAGGGGAGCAACCCGCTTCCCACTTCAGGTCCTTATGACAAAGAGGGAAAAGCAGCATCTCAAAAGATGGTTTGGCGCTCAGTGATGCATTTGGGGAGGCAAACCAAATTCGGAAACTTGGTTAACTACTAAACTGAGCTCTGTGGTATGGTGAATTACAGTGACTACCTCTACCAGGGGGACCCAGTTTTAGAGGGGACCCCTCCCACTGTAGCAGGGTCCTAGGAACACAGAGTACACACACACACACGCGCGTCTCCAACCACCCTCCCGCCAGACACACACACACAACTTTCATCATCCTAAAGCATAGCCACAGAAATCCTTCATACTTTCCACCCTTTTATGATGTCTTTCACCCAAAATGTCATTTAAGGAAGTTGACTATGGCTCTGCTTCTATGTGCAGTTTATAATAAGCAAAGGAACTTTTTCATTATTTTTTATCTTTATTATTATTATTTTTTTATTATTTTATAAAAATAATACTATTTATAATGTGTGAGGATGATCAACCAATTTTGTTTCATTCTGGGTGGCCTGCACTATCTTAGGTATAGTTGGGCTAAAAAACCAAAAGTTACTGCCCAATATTCTCTCTCCTATTTCTGCTCAAGCAGCCAAAAGGAGCCACCAAAATGGTGCAAGTCTTCTTGATCCTACTTGAGTATCAGCTCAAGGAACAATGACAGGCCAAAATCCTCTGTCCTTCAACCCCACAGGGCACTGCAAGAAATCATGGTGTTGGTGAGAACTCAGTGCTGCCTCACATGGAACATCTATGCGCGAAAGGACCCATTCATGTCATTGCCACGGAGTCTTTTATTCAGTAGAATCTTTGGCCTTTTTTGCATTGTCAACCCCTAAATGAAGGGAGGCTCTCAACCACACTTCTGAAAGGAGATGGCCATGTAATCCTTCTCAGTACAACTTTGGAGAGAGACAGACGTCGTCCATTAACAAGGGCTGATGATGCAAACGTTTCCTTTTGCAGCTCAGTGCTCAACTTTCTGGTCATTTTATCTGGTTATGAACTTCCTCTAAATGTAAAAAACAAAGTCCTAAAAAATAGCAATAGCATTGTAATAATGCTGCCTTGAGAAACGCTCAGAGTATAATATTGTCTCTCTTTTGTCCCTTGTCTTAAGGACATTAAGGGCACTTTGACAGCCATTGGGATTACAGAAGGTACAAGCTAATGTTGGTTGTACCAGATGTAATTTTGCATTTCTCAAAAGAAATACTGTTACATTCAGATATAAATTTGACTGTATCCTGTACTTAATGTTCTATTACAGGTGATTCACATAACAGGCCGGCTACGACTGAGGGTGTCGCTGTCCCACGGGAGGACCGTCCCCAGCCAAATCATGGGTCTCGTGGTTGTGGCTCACGCCTTGCCTCCCCCTACGATCAATGAAGTCAGAATTGACTGCCATATGTTCGTCACTCGAGTAAATATGGACCTCAATATCATTTACTGTGAAAATAGGTACTTTGCTTTTGTCTTCATTTGCGCTGTTGTCTGTTGCACGTTGCTGAGGGTTGGCATTCTCAGCAGTCTGAGGGATTTTACTCTCCCAATGAGGCTCATTATAAATCCTGATCTTATTTTCAATGGCTGCTTGGACTGACACCAAACATGCTTTTTTATTTAAAATTTACATTGCTGCCCTGACTTCCATTAGGGACAACAATGGAATGAATTGGGATACCCAGGCTTCCATATGCTATAATTAAGGCCTATTTTGTCTGAGAACCCAAGAAGAAAGCAGGGCTGAGATGTTATTGGCAAAATGGTACAGCAAAAGGTATCTCCTGAGGCCTCAGCCAGACCCACTTCCTGACTACTGCAGGGGCCAGCCTCATGACGGTCAGTGCTCATCCGGGTATGAAGCGTGTTGTCTTAGCTCAGGCTGCTATAAGAAATTACCACAGACTGGGTGGCTTAAGCAACAGACATTTATTTCTCATGGTTCTGGAGGCTGGGAAGTTCAGCGTCAAGGTGGAGGCTGATCAGGTTCCTGGTGAGAGCCTTCTTCCTGGCTTGCAGATGGCTCCCTTCTCGCTGTGTTCTCACATGACAGAGAGAGCTCTGGTCTCTTCCTCTTCTTATAAGGACACTAATCCTATCATGGGAATTCCATCCTCATGAACTCATCTGAACCTAATTTCCTCCCAAAGGCCCCACCTCCTCCTACCATCACACTGGGGGTAAGGACTTCAGTATAGAAATTTGGGGGGGTACACAAACATTCAGTCCACAAAACATGTAGAGAACAAATGAGAATTTGAGGCCCCCAGAGGAAAAAGGGGAAAAAAGAACTTTGCAAAACTATTAAGTGAAACTTTGCGATCCTGAGGACTTCACTTTTATAAATTAAAAAAAGATGACTCATCACCTGAATGACTTGGCAGTCCTTCCTCAACGCTGAGCTTTGATAAAAGGACTTTTTAGCGTCTGGTTTAAAAGTTCACTTTTTCCATTAAGCACAAAACAAGGGACAAGGAAATGGGACAGTGCCCCTTCAGACCTTTCACCTAGAAGTCACCAGCCCATCATCGACTGATTTGAAGAAGACAAAGTGGCCGAGTGCCAGGAGAGGGGTAGGGAGGAGCTGTACATGCCTCAGCTGTGGGAAGGAAGCTTGGGCGATACTGTCCACCCCCTAGAGCCACAGGAAGAATTGCTGAGTCGATTTTGAGAGGATGCTTTTGTGTCACGGATATAGTCAGGCATGGAGGCAGTATATGTTCACTGAGCCCTGTGAGTGCCTTCCGAGGGGAAATGAAAGAGCAGAATGGTCTAGTGGCTTAGGTAATTGACCTCTCCAGGGCCTAGCCAAGGGGAAGACGGATGGCATCTGCCTTCAGTCCATTGGGAAGCGCTACAGGTGTTGAGACCAAGTTAGAAATGCCTACCATTTCCCATCAGGATTTGATTCAGAGGAAAGAATTCACCAGTGGGAAAAGATTCCCACCTGAGCTATTAGTGTTCAGTGGGGTAGAAGACGTCATGAAACTGTCGCTGTTATTTATTAAGAACTCTAAATCTATTTTTCAAGTTTTATTGGCACTTATTAAAATTTTTATCATTGTGACTGTATAGTTGGCTATATCTAAGGTATTCTGGAATGGACAAAGAATATCAGGAAAGACAGCCAAAATGACTAGCTAGAGTTGGCAAGTAGTAATAAAGATAGCTAATGTTTATCGAATGCTTACTACACACTCGGCAATGTGTGAAGCTCGTTACATACACCATCTCATTTAAGCCTGAGGTCAGTTCTGTGAGGGTGGTGTTGCCACTGTCTCCATCATCCTCAGGCAATTTCAGCTTAGAGAAAAAGGTTAAGGGCCTTGCGCAAGGCCACAATCTGAACCCACATCTGCCACATTCAAAAGCCATGCTCTTAGCTACATCCTGGGGGTTCTCCCTGCATTCCTTGTCTCTTATTTTTCTTCAGAAGTCAGGCTAACTGGCAGGAGTTGGCCACAATAACCATGGAGGGGGACCTTTCATACACTTGCACCCATGAAAGAACACAATTACAGTCTTCAAAGCTGTTTATTCTCTGATTAAAAATGTAGAATGCTGGAGGTGGAGCTTCAAGGAGGGAGGTAGATAGAAGGTCAAAGACGGACTCCACGCTTCTTTGAAAACATACGTCAGGCTCCGTCGATGTCGAGTTACCACCACCACTCCCTCCAAAAACCAGAGCCTCATCTTATTGACCTAACTGCCAGTGACTGTCCGAGCCCAAAACTATCACTTAACTTTCATTCCTGTGACCACAGATGGATGAATTCTGTCAACACGCCCCCTGAACCTGCATGCCTTGCGGTGCCACTGTAGTAATTGAGATCATTTTCTGTGACCTTCTTTAAGCTTTTTTTCTTTCCATTTAAAAACAAAAAGTTTTCCACAACCCCTTATTAGCCAATACAATACAGCACCATTTGCCAGCTGAAGATGACAGTCATTATTAAGACAGGCCCCTGTTAAAGGTAACTGCATATTTGATCTGAGGGGAAAGCATACCGTGGGCACATTCATTTCATTTCATTCATTAATCCCTTCACCAACCTCTTAGGTTGTTTCACAGATGAGAAACTGAGGCTCAGAGTACGAGATGCCCTCAGGATGCTGATCCTGATTTAGGGCATCAAACTGGTCTGGAGCTTCCTTCACATGTATGAAGAGTCTTTTTTGACCATTGAGCTGGTCACCTTCACCACGGTAACAGGCTCTGGTGCATAGAAGTGCTTCGATTGTTTTGAGGGATTTTATTCAAATACAGAATAAACTAAAGAATCGTCTTTTCTAAAGAACGAAGTGGCTTTTTCCCAGGGTTTATTGTTTAACTAGGGGATTGCTAACTAGAAACTAATGCTGCTCCTTGACTCTGCAGACCGTTCCCCTCCTCCAAGGTGCCCAGGACGGCCTCGGGCAAAGCCAGCATCTCCAGCTTTCTGAGGCGCTGGCAAATTTCAGAGACGCCAATGAGGCCCTTTTCATCTGTTTCCTCATTTGCAGAAAGGGGGTGTAAACTGCTTGGAAAGCAGCTAATGGTTTTAGGAAAACACCAACTAATCTGTTTTGCACCAGAAAAGCATGGAATCCTGAGAAAACATTCCTTTTTATTGCTTCATTTAGTTTCACCTTACCAAGAATTCTACTTTGGTCAAAAATTTAAATGGCTAGACGTTGAGAAATGCACTCACGGGGTAGTATATTTTAATTCCATTCCGTATCATTCTGGTTTTGTTTTGTTTCTTATTTTCCAGCCTTGGGGGTCAGAGTTAACTTCCAACAGTGATCTCAGGGGTTTCTGAAACGTGTCATTTCTAAAGATTCACTTCATATTTGAATATATCGTAAGTCATAAACCATAAAAAGCACAGGGACAGTAAAGAGAATAAATTAAACAAAAAAAAATTCTCTTTTGGACTGACCAAAACGAATCTGTACTTGGACAGGGAGGAGGGTAGTAAGCATTTTGACGTGTCTGTGTAAACCAGGCAGATGCCCCCACCACGTTTTCCAATTTTTGTTCTATTTTCCTGTGCTCCTGCCTGAGGACATTGACGTCTGGACAATCAATGACAGAGGCTTACACACACGTACTGTCGAGCACAAGCCTGGAAGAGCTGCTGAAATGGTTTAAAAGTTTCTGTGTGGAATCCACCACAGAGTACCAGTTAAAAGGGCCAGGAGTGAAAGCTGAGCTCCCAAATGACTAAGACTAAAAAAGAGAATACCCCCAGGCATCTGTATGTCTCAGCATTTAAATTATATCCCTTGAAATGCCAATTTGGACTTTGTGCCAAGACGCAGCTGAAGCCCTTTTTTCATGGAAATACCCAATAGAAGACCGATCTGTTTAAATGAAAGGTGTCTCTAATCATTTGGTATAAACATAACATGTTTTTATTTTATTATGTAACCTTGAATTATCTTGGCCTCTAATGAGGATCTTGCATTGTTACTGACTCTCAATAATTTCATGGAATTATGTTGTCTAAATGTGTATTCCAATGCCAAAAAAAAGAAAAGAAAAACCTATCTAATTATCTAAACACAATTGTTTGATCCAGTACATTTCCTACTTTTGAAAAAGTCTGTTAAACGTTAAAGAAATAATCTTATCTATCAAGGCTTCTCCCTCGAAGTGCCACTTCCTCACCGGTACCCTGGTATAACGAAAATCATCAGTAGATTTGTTTCTAAGTCACTGGACGGTTTCTGTGTTTCCCCTTTCTGACTTCCGGCCTGGGTTCTTCCCTCTGCAGGATTAGTGATTATATGGATCTGACCCCTGTAGACATTGTAGGGAAGAGATGCTACCACTTCATCCACGCCGAAGACGTCGAGGGCATCAGGCACAGTCACCTGGACTGTAAGTACCTCCTGTGTGTGGGAGCAACCTGGCTGGCGTCGTCTCTCTCTGATGCTTGGTTTCAGTGTCAGTTCTTCCCTTCTTGTCTCCTGGGTACATTTGAGGTGACTGTCAGTGTGCACTGAGAAAAACTGAGACATAAATCACTTCAACCTGTTTTGGCGTTAGATTGAAAGTTGGACCTCAGGCCCAGAGAAATTGCTGGATCTTTAGGTGCTCACCCGGGATTTCGTGGTCTCTTGTGCTCTCTCTCCCATGAAGTGATGGGGGAGTCTTTGTCTTAAGTGCTTTCTTGACCCTTTCATTTTCTAGAGAGCAACTTCCTCTCTGAAATTTGCGGTCTCGGTTTCAAAATATACCTGGGAGAAGACAAGTTCAAATAGGCCAGAGCCTATAAAAATTCCTACTTGACTAGCCACAAAACTGGGGCGAGGGAGATGCCCGGGCACAGGGCAGAGCACATCACGTGGACAGAGCAGTTCTCAAAGGCAGTATCTTTTCTCTGTATTTCTGCAAAGAGGGTTATTCAGAGGAGCAGGTACCTCCATCTCCTGACTCCTGGGAGGAAAGGAACTCATCTCCGCTCTTTGAGTCTGGGTCCCAACTCCTGACTTACAGGCTCACGTCTAAGGCACTGTTTGGGCGTTTAAGCAGAGCGGGACCAGCAATGCTCAGAGTCCCAGCAGCATCTCACACACCAGCATCCTCATACTGTCCTCCCTCATCCAACTCAGCTGGGCTGTTTACACTGTGCATTGAAGGGCTCTGACAATCCCATAAGGCAGGATGCAGTGATCCGGTGGACCTCTTAGAAAGGGGCTGCCCTTTTCTAGCCAGAGGTAGGTCTTTTCTATGACCTCATGGACTCTTCCTAAAAGATGAGGGCTCTACCAGCTATATTCCAGAAGATTCTAAGCAAGTTCTGAACTCTGGTTTTAAACACATGCCAGGTGCCACAGATGAGATGGTACAGCTTGCAGCTGAAGTTTTATGTTGTAAAACCAGCCAGGTGGCCTTTGTAGTTACTTCCTCTCTCCTTTCTTGCCATGGCTGAGGAAAGCTGTTCTAGATCCTTTCTGCCCTGTGCTGTCATTTGTTCATTTCAAACTCAGGTCTGCAAAGACTTGATGGAGAGACAGCCAGCTAGCCAGAGTCTCAGAGTGTGAGCATCTTGCACTGTGTTTTTAACCCTGCATTAGTAACACTGACGTGGGACCAAGTTCAGTATCAAAGTCTGTATATACCATGTCTCTGGGAAAAGCCTGCCTGCAAGGCTGCTCTCCAGCAGATTCTGCTCCCCACACAGACTACATACATGCCTTGGTATCGCACACCAGGGATTTAAGAAACACACTTGTTGCTAAGAATGAATGGGTGTTGTGTATCGCAGAAGCAGATGGCTCTTCAATTAACTGGGGAAAAAAAATGATGCCATTTCTTGAAAAGAAACATCAGGTTCTTTGTAGCTGGGAATTTCGAGAAAATGGAGAAAGATCAGAATCTTTGGAGGAAGCTATGGATATATTTTTTGGACCAATATATGCCAGAGATCCAGACTTTAAAAATGAATATCTTATTTGTAGTACGCTGTCATAAACCACGTGTGTGGAGAGAGGGGGGTGTTTTTGATTTTGGAATCTTAAATGAGGTCTAAATTCAGAAACCTGATGCTGACGAAAGAGAACGTTGTCATCCTCAGTTATTATTTGGAAAATGTCACGCTCTCTCTGGGATTTGATTTACACCTTGAAGAAATACAATTCGTCAGGAACAGTGAGCTAGGGAAGTTCGTTTCTTCCCATAAAGCAAAGGTCTCTAGCAAATATGTCTGATGCCATTCTCTGCCATCTACTTTTATCTCATTTTTAGTAATGGGAATAATTTGAGAATCCTAAAAATAAACAACTCCGCCATTCACTATTGTGCTAATCTCCTAATTTTTGTTGTTTCTTGCCAACTAATAAACAGAGAAGGTATGCTTTCAAATTCTGTGATTTCTTTCATTGCGTGATATTGACAGGCTGGCGATTGCTTTATGATTTAGCCTACTAATAAAGATTGAGTTCATACTTTCAACTCGTACACATGACTTCTAATTTTAAGTTCATTTAATAACCTTAAACACATGAAAAACAAATAGAATGAGCTGATAACTCTGCACAGTAAAATACACTTCACATATTTAGCTCTCATGCTGTGGAATAACTCCACAATGTCAAGTAGCACACAATTAGTAAAACTGTAGGGGGAGGAAAAGGAGTGTTTTGATCCTGAAGAATTTTGATCCTAATCAGATTGAAATTTCAACATTCTTGTAGTGCTTAATATCTTCAATCACACACACAAAAATCAAACTGATGCCAATGTCAGGTTTTGCATTCTGTGATGAAATAAAATGCTAAAATATACAAATGCATCTTGCTTTGTACAATAAACATTAGCATCATTATAAAGTAAGATTGAGTCTAAAATTGTGTGATGGAATGTCTGATGTTTACCTAATTCTCAAACCAAAGCCAGCCCAGTAACAAAATGACAGAGCATGTAATAAGTCTTGGTTGTGTAAACACTGGAAGAAAAGGCAGAAAGCCAGCACAGCATCTTGCTTGTCCAAAGCCCTAGGCTATTACTGAAGGATGCCTCAACTGTGTCTTCTTGGCAGGAGAAGGTCATGGTGACATAGAATCAGCTCAGGAATAAGATAGAATTCTAAAACAAAGGGATGGTTAAAAAATAAACCACATTAACTATTTAGCTTTTCTTCCTAGAGCTATTGGCACAATTCCTTGTTCTGTCCATGAAAGACAGGTTTTAGTCATCTGATCATATTTCTATTTTGATTATCTGTCTTATGTGCTGGTTTATGGATAAGATTTAAAAAAAAAGATTCAATAGTCTTTGATAACTCAAAATGCTATCTTTATCACATATCTTTTTCCTAGTGTAGGCCTCTGTAAATCCATAGATGAACTCGTCTCTAGAATGAGAAAAGTAAAAGGGAATCTGGGCAGTACCAGGATTTGACAACATGAAGACATTGAACCAACAACTTTGGAGCATTGACTCTCCCACCAGGTTAATACAAGACACCTGATAGTTCACTGGGTTTCAACAAAAAGAATCACATTATCTATACAAACATGGCGGGTTAGTGAAATTATCCTGGGATTCTAAAACCAAGGGAATTTCACACAGTGACCAAAGACCTTGTGATTTTTTTTTTCTGTAAGCCAACTCACTGGAGTCATTGAACCAATTTCACTGATTCTTCAGGCCAAATTGACCAAATCAACATTTCAAGGTTTGAATTCTAAATCACTCATATTAGCAATCATTTGAGCATCTTTGCCCACCACCCTCCGGTTTTCCATTGCTCAGGAGGTCCTGACCTCCAGCTGAGCAGTCATGTCTCCGTAGAGTTGCACACTCCAGTTACCTGGAGCATCTGTGTCACTCTTGAATTATGAGAGCGGTTTCGGCACAACCAATTACTACTCTCCCTCTGCCTGTGGCCTGAAAAGTCTAAGGGCAAATCACGATTGCTAAACCAAACAGAGAAACATGCTTTGTATTTCTCCTTCATCCCTTTTAATCCAGCCTTTTGTCTATAAAAGACACTGAATTTGGGGCCAGCCCCGTGACTGAGTGGTTGAGTTCATGCTCTCCACTGCGGCAGCCCGGGGTTTTGGCGGTTCAGATCCTGGGCGCGGACATGGCGCCGCTTGTTAGGCCACATTGAGGCAGCATCCCACGTGCCACAACTAGAAGGACCTGTAACTAGGATATACAACTATGTACCGGAGGAATTTGGGCAGATAAAGCAGAAAAAGAAAAAAAAAAAGACTGAATTTGTCTAGAGATACCCAAGGGTTCTTCCCAGGTCAAATCAGCAACAAGTCTCTAAAACCTGGCAAGAGTGGCCTGAGGGAAACCTTCCCTTCCCTTTATAATGTTGTGCTCCACCAGCAAGCTCAAGGCTCTGCATCTGTGGGTCTTCAGAGAAAGGGAGCCAGAAAGTGTAGAAGTGGTGTCAGTTTTCCCTTCCTAGAACCACACCCAGCATGAGGAAACTCTGGAAGAGTTATTTCAGAAAGAGAGAAGGACTTCCAGCCTGTCTATGAGATCACGTAGAGTTAAAAAGTGTGGCCTGCCCAATATATTTGGGAGGAGTTAAAAAAAAAAATACAGTAGCCTAAGTGTTTATTTCTTAATTACAAAATTCTATACTTCCTAACAAAACTAATCCACAGCTACCTGGCATAATGCACTGCATGCTGTTTTGCATCAATAACCCCCACACTTCCTCCTGAAGGCATCTCATCGCCAAATGCAAGCTGACTGCTTAATGCAGGACTAATTAGTATATCCCCTTCCAGTCTGCAGGCCCTCCATTGTAATTCCTTCCCAGCTCATTTTTTTCCACAACCGAGCATCAATCAAAGTAAGTGCCCTGCCTGCCTAGGAAACACAAGATGTCCTCCATGCATTTGTCATCTGCCACACAAACAAAGGGGGAATTTAATTGTTGATTTGGGTATGCAGCCATTGCACACAGTCAAGGAAGCCACGAGAGAAGGAAGAAGGGAAGGTATCAAGTATTATGGGAGGGCCAAATGAGGGGGTGGGGTGGGGCCCTTCTATTTTCTGATCTGGGCCTTTTTCACGGCTGAGTCCTCAGGGATTCAGCTGCAGCCCGATCACTGGGTGGACTTTTTCCCAAAGCAAATGAGTTTTTCCTCTTCTTCCATGTGAATATGAAAATTCTCGTGAGAGGAAATGCGTGTAATGGCTACCACGTCTGACTTTTTTCAGAAGCCAAGTCAGTCTACATCATGTGCCTGTCCATTAACTAAAAAGACTGTTACGTGAAGACAAAATAGCGCCAGGACTCTATACAGGAGTGAATTAGTATTATTATTTTATATCTTTTTTTTTTTTTTTTGGCAAGTGCTGATTCTGGCTTTTCAAATCCAAGGGCAGGCGAACACAGAGAACAGAGA